GAATTTGTTATTTCACAATTAGGCTTGCATGAATGCGTCATGCTATTGTTTGGAGTCAGCATGAAGAACTTTGGGCCTTCTGGGGGCACCATTTGTAGTACTGTATCCTGATTGTACTTGCGAGCCTCGTGAACTCTGACATGATTCGTTCGTTCCTCTGAAATGTTCGAAACATTGGCGGGTTTGATCGATCAAGTGATCAATGATTTCGTGATGTTTAGTCATTAGAGTATTGCTGTTTAATTTCACACATGTGGTTGACTGAGGCGAGTTTGTCCAGGCATCCCTGTTCTAGTAGCGTGGACTGCTATCTTGTTTGAAACTACGGGCCTGTAATTGCAATTTTTGTTGGTTGCATGCTGATTTAGAGTAGCATTTGCATTGGTGTAATCTTAGATTGTTTCTTATTTTGATCATGGTCATCATAATGTGCTTTGTATTTGTATGTTTCTGTTTGTAGTATTTTGGATGCCCAAATGTGCTCCAATTTTTATGGATCTAGATATATTGGAATGAGGATTGTCTTTGTATGATAAGTTCCATGTGCTGCATGCCTGCATTGTCTCATGATTATGCGGTTTCCCAAGTTTCATACAGTTCGGTTGTAGTATTATGAATGCCTATGTGTGCTCCAAGGTTTATAGGTTGACGTGAATAGGAATGAAAGTTATCTGATTATCTCCCTGTATGATAAGTTCCCTTTGGTGCATTGTCTGTATTACAGCTGTACTTATGGCAGCTATTGATGCCTCTCATTCTCTTGTATCTTGAATCAATAGGAAGCGTTTGATTCTTAGTTTGATAGGGTCATTACAGTCCTGTTTTGCTTGAGAAAGTGGGAGGATAATGTGGTGATGAACTCAACTATGTTAACTGAACTTTTAAACTGTTTAGTAAACTCTGTTCCGTAATTTTGAGATGGCAGATGCTTGTTTGATAGGATGCACAGCACATGAGATAAATGGAAATCTTGTCAGATAGAACTAGAGGAACCTGAGTAGTTTGGTACGTCACCATGTGGTTTCATAACATTTATAACATCGGTGAACTACCGAATCCTTCATCAGAAGACAAGAAAGCCTCACGGTTTTCACTGTATCTGATTCTTTTGGGTTTTTCTTCTTAGGAATGCTTTATTTCATAAGTAGGCTTGCATGCATGCGTCAGTGGATCGGTTGCTTCATGCTATGGTTTGGAGTCAGCATGGATAAGAACTTTGGCCTTTTGGGGGTACCTTTTTGTAGTAGCAAGGGTATGAACTAAAATGAAATTGCAGTGCAGGGGACCATCTACTATCTGAAGTTGGAAACGTTGAGTGATTTCCTCTCCTTATAGCTACATTTACTTCAGCATTTTAATTTGAGAAACTGTAGTGCCCTATCCGAACTGCTAGTGAAACTGTAGTTTTTTTTATCCCACAGCCCCCCTCTTTAAAAAGCATTCTATGTTACTGCTTTCCTTGTGTAAAACTTTGCTGTTTCTAACTGTTCTTTTTCCTCCCTTCAGTCAGAAAAATTGGTCCCATTGAAGAGGTAGAAGTCAAACTTTGGGTGAACCACTTTAGCATTAAGTTTGGGGAATCAACTGTCTTTCACTACGGTGTCAAGCTCGCCCAAGTTTCTCCAGAGGCATCAGGAGGCTTGGAGCTCTCCATGGCAGATCAGAATTTTGTAAATGCTCAACTCTTGAAGATGCTTCAGAAGTCTCCACATTCATTAGTTGTTGCTTCTGATGGCAAGGGCAATCTGTACTCCTTTGCCAAACTGCCAGAAGGTTTATCCCTCCCTGTGTCAGTTCGGTCACGGGCCTACAATGCCTCAGTAGAGTTCAAGGACGAGCTGCCGTTCCGCTCTGATCAGCATGTGCCTAGGAATGTCTTGCAGGCTCTTGATGTCATTGTGCGTCAGGCCTCTAGCTATGAAAAGATTATCATTGGTCAGACATTATATTCACCACAGTGGTTAGTTCTTGAGGGCTCCAATCATGTTCATGTCCAAGCTCTAGGGGGAACGAAGCAGACCCTAAAACCCACCGAGCAAGGGCTAGTCTTATGTGTGGACTATTCAGTTATGGACTTCTGCAAACCTGAAAGCCGTGTTCTGGATCTTGTTGAGCACTTGCTGAAGCGCTTTGGCAGAAGGAACCACCTTAACCCCCGTAGTCCAGCTCTAGACAAGGAAGAGTGGGAATATTTGAAGAGTCAGCTCAGAGGCCTGTGTATTACCGTGAGTTACCAGAAGAAGTCCTCTGAAGGAAAAAGGGATGCGCCGACAGTTCGGAAGTACAAGGTTCAAGACTTGACGGCTGAAAATGCTGAACAGATAATCTTCAAGGAGTTCAAAGTAGATAAGAGTTGGGAGCTTGTTCAGTATTATCGTCAGCAGTACGGGGAGGATATTCAGTATAAGATGCTTCCATGCTTGATTTTGAGCAAGAGAGAGGACAAGCCAAACTATGTCCCGATTGAGCTTTGCAGGCTTCATAGATGTCAGAAGTATCCCAAGGATTCCAGCCAGGAACCGAGGAGGCCACCCCCATCAGATGAGCGGAAAATTATGATTGAGCGAATGGTTAATGATGGACTGGATGGGCCTTGCAGGTAACTATTTTGTGTTTGGGCGCCCTTCTACTTCTGCATACGCATGCTATCCATTCTTTCCTTTTTTCAGTCTAGAAACCTAATATATCACACAATTTACTTGCTGCTGAGAATGTAATTCCAGTGCAATATAATTTGCTAGAAGTTCGATACAATAGTTTTTTTTTCTGTGTAAACAATACCTCTACAGCAGAACATGTGTGTGAAAGAAACATGAAGTTTAACTATGGTATCAGTATATTTTTCAATTCACTGCCCACTTACGTAATTCTTACTGAAGTATTTGCTGTCATTTTCTTTCTTTGGAAGGAACTGATCTTTGCGTTTCTTCAAAAAAGGATCTGATGCTTAACGAATAATTAGTGAAAGGAACTCATTTTTATTACGGGGTACTAACGATCATTTTACTTGCAGAGGAGGAAACAGAGGCGAGCAATTCAGGATTTCATTGGATACACAGATGACAGAAGTGACCGGCAGGATCCTTCTCCCCCCAGTGCTAAAACTGGGTGACTCTAAAGAATTGAGTATTCGTCTTGCTAACCGCCAGTGGAACCTCCAGGATCACAAAATATTTGATGGCCAGTCTCTCAAGTGCTGGGGCGTGCTCGATTTCAGTGGACAGGAGACTCGTTTCAGGGATGCCTTTATTGCAAAGATTGTCAGAAAGTGCAATAATCTCGGTATTACGATGTTCTGTGAGCCAAGCCTTGTGCACAAGTCAGCAATGTTGGTGCTATCTGATCCGGACAAACTACGTAGGGAGCTTAGCAAAGCGAAGGAGGCTGCGGAGGAGAAGGGGCAGAAGCTGCAGCTCCTCTTCTGCCCGATGTCTGAGCTGCACCCTGGGTACAAGACGCTGAAGCTGATCTGCGAGATAGAACTGGGGATGCAGACTCAGTGTCTCTTGACCCAGCTGGCGAACAAAGAAGGCAAGGGCCAGGACCAGTACTTGTCCAACCTTGCCCTCAAGATCAACAGCAAGCTCGGAGGAAGCAACATGCAGCTATCTCGCGAGCTCCCAATGGTGACTGGCACACGCTTCATGTTCATCGGCGCGGACGTGAACCACCCGCCTCCAGGAGACACGGTGAGTCTGTCGATAGCAGCTGTTGTGGCGTCCATGGATTGCCCTAGCGCCAGCCAGTACGTGCCGAGAATCCGTGCCCAGAGGCACCGCTCGGAGGAGATCGATAACCTCGGTACCATGTGTAAGGAGCTCATCCAAGTCTACATGGAAAGGAACGGCGGCTTCAAGCCAGACAAGATCATTTACTTCCGCGATGGCGTGAGCGACGAGCAGTTCAAGATGGTCCTTGACAAGGAGCTAGTGTCTATGGAGAAGGGTATCTGCGAAGACGACTACTCGCCGACGATCACAGTTGTCGTGGCCAAGAAGCGGCACAACACGCGGCTGTTCCCCAAGGACGAAAACGAGCTGCAGACAACGAATGGCAATGTGCTCCCTGGCACGGTCGTCGACACAGTCGTTGTCGACGGGTCGCACGATGACTTCTTCCTCTGCAGCCACGACGGGCTGCACGGGACGAGCCGGCCCACGCACTACTACATGCTGAAGAACGGGCACGGCTTCAAGCGCGTGGACCTGCAGAAGCTGGTGTACAGCATGTGCTTCATGTTCGCTCGCTGCACCAAGCCAGTGTCGCTGACGGCGCCCATCAAGTACGCCGACATCACGGCCTACCGCGGCAGGGACTACTACGACAGCAGGATGGATTCCCTGCAGTTCCAGGCGCAGTTCCAGGCCGTCGAGTTCCCGGAGCTGCGCGTGCACCCGGATCTCAGGGACAAGATGTTCTTCGTCTGATGCCGCCTGCTTTTTCAGGGCACCCTGGAGCACGGTGAGCACGTTCTGCTTCTTGTGTGCGCGTTCTTGCAGCGTACGGTGAAGGCCTGCTGTGTTGTGTACATGGTCGTCAAGTTGGCTCTTACGGCTTTGCTGTGTTCGTACATGCTCGCCGAATTGATTCATACAGCTTTGCTGTGTTCTGTACATGCTCGCCGAACTGGCTTGTTACAAACTCATTCTTGTACATTCTGTTACTGGAGATACTGCTGATCACTGTGAATCAACAAAGAATAGTTTCGATCTTTCTTCTTTTTTGTTTTTCACAATCCATATTCCAGCAGATGTTGGAGAACTGGAGTGCTGGGAAAGGATATGAGAAATATATTTTTGACATTTCTTTGGCATTCCGGCAATCAGCCAAATGTTGTAAGGCAGCCAGTTACATACAAAAGATCCCTTTGGGATTGCACTACTGCATAGTGATGGTTGACAGGTTGCGGTCGTACGTTCTTCAAACCTAGTGGCTGACAGGTTGCGGTCAGGCAATCACTAGTAATAGCCGTAGTGGTACAAGTGATGTGAAGTCGTACGTCAGAGAAAATCCCACACCGGTATCGACGACTGACCCTCCTCTCCATTCTCATGGTCGATCTGGGGATTCGTCTCCATGAATTGCAATGCGTGCATGTCACCAGTATAGGCCTGCAAGATTTACGCTCACTTCAGTAACTACGGCATCAAGAACGGTATGAACCATACCTGAGTCCGGACTTCAGAATTTAGCAACTACTACTTCATTAAGTGGTGAAATGCTTCAAAAAGATATCAAACATAAGCTTCTCTTTTACAATCACTGATTCCAAACAACTCACTTGGGTTTCGGTTAGTTCACCATTCCCAGGGAATGGCTGCTGTTGCAGGGTTGGAACTGCAGAAGCCTGCATGCCCACAAGAACCTGATAACTAATCGACATGACTATACATTGTTATCAAGAGATGAACACAAACCTGATCAAAATGGTTCAAATTGTCACGAAGGTTCTGTGAGGTACTAAGACCAAAGTTGTGGCCAAGTACATAATGTCCCTGCACAATACAGAGAGAAGCTAAACCACATTCACAAGGCCACATGAAAATACTAGGAGTCGTGTGTTCATGTTGAAGAATTCACCTGCATTGGTTGATCTGGTAGGAACTGATCCGTAACATTCACTTCCCTTTCCCTTGGTCCTGCAGCTGCTTCGCCAGAATGCCCTATTTTCATAGCATGCAAAAGAAAATGTTTAAATTTACATGTACAAGTGTATAAAAAGAGTTCACATCTATAAAGAAACAATCTGCAGAGACACCTTTTCTTTGTTTCTGCCTTTTATTGGTTTCCTGACAATTTCCACGACGAGTAACTTCACTCATCTTCTTTCCTGTAGATTTCTGAGGCTCGCTGCTATTACCAAGAGGATAATCATTTTGAACCATACGAGTTAACTGATCCTTGATGGAATGGACAACAGATGACTTAGCAGCTAGTGTTGATTGCAAAGTTCGTTCAATTCCTTCATTAAGTTGATCCGACTGGCTTGCGACCATTGAAAATGTCTCTACGTTCGCTGCAGCCTTAGAAGCAATCTTATAGAACAAACGACAAAGAGCTGCATAACGCTCTGGAACACAAGATCCTATATGACTGTCAAAACTAAACCCATTGATTTCATGAACGGTCCCCAACTTTGCATCTTTACTCCATCTCTTAAGAAGATACTGTAGGGGGATCTCTTTAACATTCTTCAGTTCATATACCTTTAATATATGGCAGCATAAAATTCCAGCAGTTTCAAATTTTTTACAAGTGCATGCAACCGTGCCATCTGATGAATCAAACCGCACAAGTTGTTCTTTAGTTCTGTTTTTAAAAGTAATCATATACTCAGAAAGAGAGCCGAACTCGCCGCAACCGTAAACCATACAGTCCATGCACTCTTCATACTCTTTCCTAAATAACTCAAAATTTATTGGTGTATACAAGTTTGCAGCCTGCCAGAGCAGTGGCAGAGGTGTTCTTGGTTCCCTTTGGCTGGCTTGGTAATCAGCTTGTATCTCTTCCTGTCTCCTCTTCTCAACTGAACTTCCAAAAAACTTCAAAAAAGGAGATAGCTCTTTCTCACAATCCAAGTATTCTTTCATCCTTATGCCTAAGGTTTCTGCTCGTACCATGCTTTTAATGTCCCCAGAGAATATTTGTCGGCCATATGGCAAGGCCCAATTTTCTCTGTCTTCGTAAAGCTCATTTAACAATTTGTTTTCTTTAAGGTTGTATTTCTCCATTATCACATTCCATGTCTCAACAAACTCTTGGCCATCCTCGACATCAAATACACAGTGGCTAAAATCATGCGTGAATTCTTCTGAAATACAGAAAACATGCGCCAAGGACTTAACTGCATCCTGGTATATTTGCCACAAGCAATAACGGTGAACTGTACCAGGCCAAGCGAGGTCTAGTGCTTCCTTCAAAGCAGCAGATTGATCTGTCAAAATAGTCTTTGGCTGTTTCCCACACATGGCACTCTTAAAGGTCTCAAGAAGCCACTTGAAAGATTCAGCCGTTTCATCATACAGGAAAGCAGCACCAAATATGACCATTTGCCTATGATGGTTGATACCCAAAAACAAAGCTAGTGGCCTGCTGTAGTCATTCAGTTTGTAGGTCATATCAAAGCAGATCACATCACTGAAATAATGATAGTCGAAGATTGATCTTGCATCAGCCCAGAAGACATTAGCAGCTTTGTCATTTTCATCCACCTGGATGGCATAGTAAAAAGATGGATTATCACTCTTCATACTTCGAAAATAATCTGTAAGATCTCTGAAATCCCCTGCGTTCATATCTTTTGTAGGCTTGGTCCGAAGATAATTCTTGTACCTTGGAGGAATGCTTATGGCATTTCCATTTCCAGATTGAACCTTGGACAATAATCTTTGCGACTTCAGCATCCCAATATCAATTGGACCAGCAAGCTGGTGATTATGATCCTGCACAAATTCTGTCACTCGGTATTTTCCACTGGGCGTTAACATGATAGAAAATCGTGCAGGGCAACCCGTCCTTGTCTCCGGGTAAGGTCTCTTGGGCAAATTCTTTGCGCGAAAGCCCTCTCTGGAACAGACATAAAACCTTGATCTACTGCCACTTTTTGCTGTTTTATCCCACAATCCTTTTCGGACACTAAATCCCACATTTCCTGCATAACTAACATAATACTTGCATGCTTTCTCTTCACTCTCGAAGACCATTCCAATTATGGGCACTCCTCCAGCGTTCGCAACAACTTCTGGTGGCAATTCTGGCTCTTCTTCTGCCTTCTCTTCAGGTTTATCTGCAGTCTGGGAGAAACAAGCACGCCTATATAATCTCATATTTGTATAAACGATTATATAAACAAGCACCCACATATTTTCCCTGATCTAGAAACTCAAACAGAAAAGGGGAAATTTCAGATCCCCAAAACAGAAACTTTGATGATGGCAAAGCAAAGCGCACCGCTACACTACCCTGCCTGCAATGTGCAATCCCAAAAACATCACGGATTATACCTGCGGGTCCTCCTTGCCGAGGAACTGTCCTCCGGCACTCCTCCGGCGCCGCTCCGCCAGGGCTTGCCTCGACGGGACCTGCAGGCAACAACGGCAGCAGTAAGTAAGTTGACAACCATGACCTGCCCAGTCCAACTAGCCCCCAAACCGGACCTCGTCACAAAGAATCCCACCTTAGCGGCGGCGCGGTTAACGCCCTGGCGGCCGCTCCGCTTCTGCATGTAGCGGGTGATGATATCGCGGCGCTCCTCGTTCGTGTAGCGGGAGACCCGGATACCCAGCTCCCGGAGCAGCCGCGAATGCTCCAACGAGGCGGCCCCAGAGGGGCCGCATCCCTTGTTTTCTCCGGCGGCGGAAGTCTCTACACCGCCGGGCTTGAGCTGGTTCTTACGGGCGGCGCGGCGCTTCTTGGAATTGGAGGAGAGGTCGAGGTAGGTGCGGACGATGTGAGAGATGCGGGGTGTCGGATGCTGTGGTTGGCTCGGCGCTGGTGAGGACGCAGCGGGGTCGCCGGCAGCCCCGCCGCCGGAGGTGGTGGCCATGGTTTGGGATCGGAGGGGTGGGGAAAAACGGACGGATTGGGCCAAAGGACTCAGCAGGATAGTCGACTGAGGTGTGTATGACACGCGGGACCCGAATTTCAGTGTCCCCGACCAGCAGCGTGGGACACGTGGGACGCGCAAAAACAAGGGTTTGTGCATACGAAAGCGTCCACAAAACCATTCATTCGGGATTGTTGGTACATAATCAAAGTAGTCTTTATAGAACAGACGTGCGCCAAAGACTATGCCTTCATATACTCCTGAAACCCTTTGAAAATTTATTTTGCCCTAATTTTCCGCCGCTGCACACCTCTATTTCGTGAAGACCAATCTGGAGGCCTTTTCCAGTACTCTTCTGGAGGGGGAATTCTTCACGGTGGCCATCTTCATCAACTTGAAGGCAAACATGATCGATTGTGAGTAGTTTCCTTAAGACTATGGGTTTGTAGCAGTAGCTAGATGGTTCTCTCTCCCTTGCTTCTCAATATAAAGATCACATGAGCTAACCTACAAGATTGTGATCCATTTGATGTAATTTGTTGGTGTGTTTGTTGGCATATGATGAATTTTCACTTTATGATCAGATTTATCAATGAACCTTTTTGAGATCTATTTGGTTTCTTTGTTGCATAATACTTATTCATATATGATCTTTGATGTATTCTTCTTTCTTTGACCAATTTTGGGGTTTGATCTTCAGAGGGAGTTGTGTATGATAGTTGGGTTCAACCTTGCAAGTAATGTAATTCAGTAACAGGAAGTGGAAAATGCTTGTATTGTGTTGTTGCATGTAGGGATAAAAAGGTCGTTGCATAGTTCTGCTTTGAACGTTGAGTGAAGACAATATATCATCTACTTTATGTCATCATGCTTATTGTAATACTCTGCTTTTACCTAATATTTTAAGATGTATGCTGGATAGCGGTCTTGGGTGAAGTATTAGCTATAGATGCATTGGGATAACGGTCTATAGATATTGGGACGTGATGCTCATATGTTAATTATGTCATGGATGTTCATACCCATAAATATTGCAATTTAATCACAACCCAAATGTAGTTCGTTTACCACACTATGTTTTCTTATAGAGAGAGACCACCAGCGAACCTATGGACCCCGGTCCATTTTCTTCGTGTAAAACTTTAAAATTTATCAACGCTCTTTTAATTTTCGCTTTTACATTCTCATCAAGTCCAAGTCATTTTTTATTTCCATCGCTGTTTCAATCCTTTGACTAGCAAGCTAGTGAGATTGGCAACATCACTAGTCCAGTTTGGGCTCTACTATCGCCAATATGTCCATTTAATAATTGTGTGCGATAGTTATTCCTATCACACATGCCCTCCATATATGCACCGTCTTCTTTTTGTCTGATATTACACACACATACAGGTTTGAAATGTTTGGCGTATTTCCATTAATCACACACGCATATGAGACGCAACCATGTGTGGTACTGCTAGAAATCCCACACGCATATGAGATCCAACCGTGTGTTCGACCGTTGAGTATCACACACGTTTTCCATCAAAAACCCGTCTGTTATTTATTTTTCCATCGCACACGCTGTTTTCTTTCAAACAATTGCTACTTGTGAGCTACGTTGGGATTTTTCCGAAGAGGAGGGGATGATGCAGTACAATAGAGATAAGTATTTCTCTCAGTTATGAAACTAAGGTTATCAATACAGTAGGAGAACCAAGCAACACTATGTAAACAGCACCAGCACACAAACAACAAATCCTCGCACCCAACGCAAACAAGGGGTTGTCAATCCCTTGACGGTTAATTGCCAGATTAAATTGTATGGTGATAGATAAATAGATCGCTGATACGTCCATTTTGCATCATGTTTTTCTACTGTTATTTATGATGTTTTCATCCATAATAATGCTTTTTGGAGTAATTCTAATGCCTTTTCTCTCATAATTTGCAAGGTACACACAAAGAGGGAGAATTTCGGCAGCTGGAAATCCAGACCTGGAAAAGCTACGTCAGGCCACCTATTCTGCACAACTCCAAACAAGCTGAAACTTCACGGAGAATTTTTATGAAATATTTGAAGAATATTGGAGCAAATAACTACCAGAGGGGGCCACCAGGTGGGCACAACCCACCTGGGCGCGCCAGGGAGCCCAGGCGCGCCCTGGTGGGTTGTGCTCACCTAGACCCACCTCCGGTGCCCATCTTCTGGCAGGGCCGGGCCGGCAAAATCCGGGGCCCTGTGCGAAACTAAAAAATGGGGCCCTATCTTGCTATAAAAATGAACTAACAAGCAATTATAATGTATATGTATCTCGCAGAAATTTTTTATATAGTGTATAATATAAGATGTACTAATTAAATTTTGTTCTTTCTTTTCTCTTGCGCTTATATGGACCAGACTGATTTTTCCTCATGATGACTCAAATCTGTATTATTTAAACAGAAGATAAAAAGATGAATATAAGTTATACAATATCATATATCAATTGAAGATCATGCATTAATATTTTGCAATTAAACGAACCGTCTAACTCACCTAGTTTTGGGTCTTGTCCAATTGAACTACTAGACTGTGATCTTTAACCGAGGAGGTAAGAACCAATCCGTAATGAAGTAACGATTCCTACGGAAATAATTAGGAAATTAAGAATTAGGAGTAGGAACCGAAGTTAATCGGGAAGGAGGATTTGCTAAGCACCTTGAGGCTGGAGTCGGTCAGTCGGTCATGGATAGGTCCGATGAGGCGATCTCGTTTCCTGTAGCAACGGCGAAAGAACTGCAGTGGACTGAAGTATCGATCCCAGAAAATTGGAAGAGGCAGCTATGAAGGCAACGACAGCAGCTCGATTCTGATCGCTTTGATGAGGCGAAGGCGACAGCCGACGAGACGATCTCGTTTTGTGTTGTGCCGCGGACGGGACCGCTGTTGCGGTTGCAGATCGAGGCGATCCCGATCGACTGCTGGAGCTATCCCTTGTTTTTAGACCGAGCACTTTCCTTTTTCTGAGAACATCGAGCGATCCTTTTTCCATTGAGCGATCGAGGCACCAGCGCTCGACGGCCTCGACTCGGCCCAACTCCAGCGCCGAGCGGCCCAGTGCGGCAGAGCCTTGGCATTTTTTTAGAAATACTATGCCTATATAAAAAATTTGGGGCTCCTCAAAATTATGGGTCCCTGTGCGGGCCGCACATTTGGCACCACTATGGGCCAGGCCCTGTCTTCTGGTATATATATGTCATTTTGACCTAGAAAAAATAAGGAGAGGACTTTCGGGACGGAGCACCGCCGTCTCGAGGCGGAACTTGGGCAGGAGCACTTTTGCCCTCCGGCGGAGCGATTCCGCCGAGGGAACTTCCATCCCGGAGGGGGAAATCATCGTCATCATCATCACCAACAACTCTCCCATCTTGGGGAGGGTAATCTCCATCAACATCTTCAACAACACCATCTCATCTCAAACCCTAGTTCATCTCTTGTGTTCAATCTTGTTACCGGAACTATAGATTAATTGGTGCTTGTGGTTGACTAGTAGTGCTGATTAAATCTTGTAGTTGATTACTATATGATTTATTTGGTGGAAGATTATATGTTCAGATCCAATATGCTATTTAATACCACTCTGATCTTGAGCATGATTATCATTTGTGAGTAGTTACTTTTGTTCTTGAGGTCACGTGTGAAATCATGTTGCAAGTAATCATGTGAACTTGATATGTGTTCGATATTTTGATAGTATGTATGTTGTGATTCCCTTAATGGTGTCATGTGATCGTCGACTACATGACACTTCACCATATTTGGGCCTAAGGGAATGTACTGTGGAGTAGTTATTAGATGATGGGTTGCGAGAGTGACAGAAGCTTAAACCCTAGTTTACGCGCTATTCCGTAAGGGACCGATTGGATCCAAAAGTTTAATGGTTGTGACGCCCGGATAGTTACGCTACAGTAATCCTCCGCTAATGATGCCACGTCACCTCGATTACGGTGGCTAATCTCGCATTAGTTTGAAACCGATTTGAATTCGATTTAAAAATCAGGCAAACAACAAAAGTTTTCAAAAATTAAAACTATAATGTTCAGAGTGAGCCAAATAATGCATAAGTAATTATGGCAGAGGAACTACACTTTTATAAAATGTTCAAATACTCTAAAACGATATAAACAGTAGCAAAAACAATTATTTAAATGCTTTTAAAATGATAAACTATTACAAACTAATATATTAAGGTGCCAAGTTAATTATGGCAGTGGTATAATTCCTATTACCAATTTAGGGATCATTTTTGTACTTTACAAAACTAAAATACAATGAGGAACAAAATAAAACAAAAAATAAATAAAATACATAAAAGAATAGAAAACTAAAATTACAAAAAAGAAGCCCCCTGGCCAACTGGGCCAAGCGGCCCAGCCGGCCAGCACCAGCACCCTGGCCAAAACGGCCCACTCCGACCCACCTGGCCCAGGCCGCCCCCCCACTCACCCCTTATCCCCACGACCAAACCCTAACCCCACCCCGTCGCCCCACTCGCCCTCCCACTCGCTCTCCCCCCTCCTCCCCGATCCAGATCGGATTGAGGGGAGCGAACCACCGACGCCAACGCCCGTAGCCGCCTCG